CATCTCGCGTGGACAGTCATCACCTGTATGCGGTCAGAGCTAACAAACAAAGGCTCCTGGCTAGGCTCGATGCCCCAAGAAAGCCTCCAAATGTTGCTAGCACTTGGTCAGGCTAATATCCTAACAGCTTTGACGCAGGCTTGATGTGAGAATGAAGGTCGGAGTTAACAGTCTGGAATTATGGTTCCCCCGTACCACCTCAGCATTAGAAATGATGGTATGTGAATATTCAAATCAACTTCACCTTCTTCACTCACCGTTAGGCTTTCAGTTAGGTGCTCAACGTCAGACTTCACCTTACAAAGGTTGTCCCAAGTGTTTAGTATATCTTGTAGGGCTTCGTTGTCAATTTCGGTGTGTTGCACAACGTCCAACCAAAACAGCAGATCAGCTTCCACTAGCTGAAGGGTCCTATGCGCCCGAGTCTGTGGGTCTTGCTGTTCCGCCTGAAAAAGAAGTGACCACTGCGTTGGAAATTGACACCCAATACAACACAGTTCTGGATGCACATTTAGTTTTCTGTCATAGTTTTACTTACCGGACGTTTCTTCGGGGACTATGCCATGCAATTTCAAGTGAGTTTTTTAAAATGAACCCAATTTCTTGGGGATAATCGTTCTCAGGTGTCGATTTTTGTCAGTTTCAAAAAAAGGTGTCGTGTTCAAGACAGAAGACGTTTTAAAATTATCTCTTACTCTCGAGCATGGTAGCTGTTGCGTGGATTTGTTTAAATAACGTTTGCCGAATTTTTTTATGTCGACCCTTCACTTGGATCCCATACTGATATATGCAAGTTCAAATAAAAAGAGCCGGGCGGTTATGTATGTCAAGTTTGCAGTTCACGGGGGATCAGCAAGTTGGTCATCATTCTTGCTCTAACCTTCGACCAAGCCGTATAAGGCCGAGGACATTGGAGCTTAGGGATAAAAGTATCTGCTCTTTCTGTTGGAGATTGGCAAAATAAACTAGGATTGTACGCTAAATGACAATGGATTTTTTCCTTGAGTAAAACCCTGGAAATACGGCACTCGCACAGCTAAGAACAGCGCTGGTTTAAAGTCTGTGCTAAACGGCGAAATGTGTTATCTTACGTAGCATTGAAATCAGTTTTGAAGAACTCAGAGGCTTCTGTGGGATTTACACTCGCGTCAGCAAGAACAGGGCTCGAGCAGAGAAAAGGCTCTGACTGAGTTAC